ATTTTGTGCCCCAAAATCGGAATTTGGGAGCCTTTCCAAAAATTCGATGTCTGTATAGGCCGCTAGTATGAAAATGCTATTGTCCTGTCAGGAATGGATCTTAGAGTATAGCTCCAGAGACTCCGCCCCAAGATCACGAGGCTCACAGGGTCAACGTCCGCATGTCGCGAGTGAACGGGTCGATGATCCGGGTCGTGACGGACCGCGCTGTGCAGGCCGTACCGGGTCTGGTGTGGGGAGGTTAAGCTTTCGGATCTGTTTTGTGGGGTTTTGGGGAGCAAGGCTTCAGTCGGATGCTACCTGGTTTAAAGGCTGGAGAATTTGAGCTGCCCGCGTTTGATTCGTACAGAAACTGTTCGCTGTTGAAGATGAGCTGTGCAAGCACATTCAGCCGGGGTCTGAGTTCCGAATTCTGGCTTCAGAAATCCAGCTCACTTCCGTTTGATGTTTTTGTGGGCCACTTGGAAACCCGCGACTCTGAGTTTCTGAATCCTAACCCGGAAACCGGAGCCCATTGCCTTTCGCTGCAGATGGGAGAAGAGCTCTTCACGACGTACGGCTCGGAGGTGCGTGCGGCAGACTCCAAGTTTGTCTTGTACCTGTGTGTCAGATTGATCTTGCCGTGAGAGAGGGAGACACAGGGAGAGAGAAAGAGAGAAGGAGGGAGAGAGAAGCTGTCCAAACAGTAGTCATCCCCCAAGCCCTGTGGAAGAAGAGACAGCTTCGGCCAGCAGGCGCACCAAATAAAGCCTAAGACCAACAGCCATCACCATCACGACCACAGCAACAACAACAATAGCAAGAGCATGGTAAAACCCTCGACACGATTAACAAGACCAGCAAAACTCGCAGCAGTCGACTCATAAACTCGACAGTGCCATAAAAGCTGAAACCAGGGAGAAAGACCTTAGCCAAAAGACCTCTCTACCTCGGTTGATGCTACTTCAGGACTGGTTCCTGGACCGCCACATCCATGCCGCCCCCATGCTGCCCAACCAGTCGGCGGAAGGCCTGGAGTGACTGCCCAGAAGTTGAAACCTCTGTCGAGCTTAGGATTCAAAATTTACTTCTCCACCCGACCCTTTGCTTTGCACAGCACCTGCTCTGAGTTTGGGGCCTCGTCCTCTCGGAAAAGGCACCTCCTCCACTCCTGCGGCTCGAGCGCCTCAAAGACCAAACCCTAACTCCGAGGCGAGAGCAACTGCAGCTTCGCTCCGCGGAAGCTGCCTTCCCCGGCTGTCTGTGCCAGCATTACGTCGCCGGAGCCCTCCGGCAGGGGCGTAGCTCGTCCTTTTGGGTAAGTCCGAAACCCTGTGCGCATTCAAAGGCTGCGCAGCTAACACTCTCACAGCTTCAACAGCATGGCATCCTTGTTGTAATGTTAAGAATGTGGCGGAAATTCTCGCCGCGAGCTGTCCATTAAGGATGCTCTGATCCTAGGAACGGGGCTTCTGAAGCCGCTCAGCCCGAAACGGAAGAGCAGTCACTCCCCAAAATTCCCCAAACCCCTCGGGACGTCTCCTTGCCATGCCAGCCTTGAGCGAGTGAGTCGAAACCCCCCAACCCCAAACACTATTAAACCCGAAGCCCTCGACCGCGCTTCGGAGTTCGGAGTTCGGGGCTTGCCAGATGGGAGCCTGGTGCCTCGCGTCAATGCACAGGGTTCCTTATATCTTGTCGATAGAGTTGTAATTATGTGGGTTCTATCAGGGGTGGGATGAGGCGTTTCGAAGGGGTCCTTAGACTTACAAGGTTTTGTCGGCTTTTATAATCTGTGGGTTTTTTGGGGGATTCTAGGGTTTAGGGTCTCCTTAAGGGTTGCCTCTGAGGTGCTGGCCCAGCATTCCATCGCTGCAGGCACTGTTCTTTCCAGCCCCATGCTACTGAGCTGTCTCAGAAGCGTTTTGTTTGTGGGAGTTGGGGCCCAAGCATTTGGGAAATCCGCATATGGACAACATCAGTTTCACAACTGAGTTTTCAACTCCCCCTTTCCAAAAGCAATTTCTCAACAGAATTCGTACTGGGCAGTCTAAGCAAGCCCCCGCAGCCCCAATCTCAAGATACAGGCTTCCTGGCCAAGGGTAGCTCTACCAGAGTCCACGTCCACCAGACTAGGTTTGCCTTCGATCCGGCTTATGTGTCTGGTGCGTGGGACCTGCTAGCAAACAGCGCAGGCCATCCAGACCTAGATTCTTGTTGTGAAATGGGAAAGCGCTTGGCTTACTTAGGGTTTTCTCTTCTGGCTTTTCACGCTCTTGTGCTTTTCTTTTCAAGCACTTAACGTAAACCGGATGAAGCAGACCATGCTTGCAGTGTTCGCCAAGCAATGGTCCAGGACTTGCTGGTGTTGCCCTTCCTGTTTCCGGGTCTTCTCACCAGCAACACGTCTTCTCCGAACATGGCTGCATCAGCACCCCGGCAGCAAAAGAAGCAAAAGAGCCGACCCTGTACCGCTATGGAGCTTCGGTGGCTGAGGGTTTGGGGCTTGCGGGGGTTTAGGGTCTACTATCCTCATTACACTACACCGGGTATACCTTGAACTTTCAATCCTACTTTCATGCTGCAGGCGTGTGGGAAAACCCCTGTAGCCAGTTGGGTGTTTCAGTTCACCATCGAACCCGGGTTCCCTGAGCCGAGAAAGGGATGAGCCCATGAATCTCCGAAAACCAAAAAAATCCCGAACTGTACATCGTCCCTTTGGTTGCCCTGCGCCATAGAGACTCTAGAAAATCTGAACCCGCACCCCAAAGTCCGGAGAACCCCTGAAATCTCCGCAACAGGTGCATCTGGAAGGTGGGGCTGAGGAGATCTCCGTGCACCAGGCCTACTCCACTTGTCAATGGATCCTGCAGAGATCCCTTTCAGACCCCTCATACACTTTTCGATCCTGATAGATCCGCTTTACGTTTAGATCCCTTTTCGATCCCTTGTGGGCAGACCCTTTCCCATCAGTTTTAGATCACTTTAGGATCCCTTGTAGATCCCCATTCTGATCCCTTTTGGATCCCATTTTGATCTTGCAGATCCCTGATGTTCGATTCGAGGCCTGCGACCGGCAATTTGCCCTGGAGTCCTTCCGCCTCAGTGCTCTGACGCTTCGGAGAGTTTTACATGAGAGTTTTGAGCCGGGAGTTTAGGGGTAAGGGGGGGGGGGCTGGGTTGGGTTTAGGGTTTGGTGGAGTTTAGGGTTTCGGGCTTTCGGATCGCTTTCTAAAAACTGATGGGAACGAGGGTTTTGGGTTTGGAGGAGTTTTGGTGTAAGGTCGAGGGTTTCCTGGGGTTTGGGGCTCTTGGTTAGGTCTCGGGCTTGGAGTTTCGAACCCGGGAGACTTTAGCAGGGATTCGGTTCAGGAGCACACCTTAAGGTATCGTGTGGGGGGGGGAAGGGTCGGAGGGATCCTTGACGTGATTTCAAGGCGCTTAGCTCGATTGAGTCGTCCTGTGCTCTTTGGGCATCGAGGCTTAGAGTCTTGCTTCAGAGCCTAGGATCTTCCGATCTTCCCTTGAAGCTGCAATCTTATGCCGAGGAAGGACATCGCTCCAGGCGAGCTGCTTGTTGTGGACGCTGCCTTTGACCATCGGGGTCCCCCGATGCCGCTGGCAGGGGGTTGGCCCCAGCATCTTGGCAAACAGTTCAACGACTTATCGTTTCTGGCAAGGTTTCTGGCTTTGGATTTCGGGTGAACTGATTTCCCAGAAAGGTTTGCAAAATTCGGGATCCCAGGCCTTACAAGCCAGGACCCTTGCCAGAAGATCGACGAGGACTCCTAACAGCTGATGTGTTTTTCCTCCGCCCCCTTCTTTGCAAGATCTCGGAAGCGCGGATCCTTTGCTTTCTTTTTCCTAATGCCACAGATTTTTGGAACCTAAACTCTCACCCCTTACTCAAAACTCTAAATCCCCAACTCGGAACCCAGTTCCCGATATCAGGGTTGTTTCAGGTCCGACAAGGATTGCAGGCACTAGATCTCGAAGCCAAGGGCTCAAGCCCTCACCAAACAAACCCCGAACCCAAACAGCCCTACAGTAACCCTAAGCCCTAAGCCCCCAAAAGCCCGAATCCCACAAAACCGTAAACCCTCAGCGCCAAAAAGTCCAAAAGCCTAAACCCTAAATTGCTGGGCCTTAAACTGAAGGCCCTCAACTCCTTTCCCTCGAAGCCCGTAGGCCCTAAGGTAAGAAGACCTCAAGCCGCAACCCAGAGGTGCTGGAGTGCCCATGACAGCAATTACGATCATGCCAATAGTAATATTGCCAGTTGCAATCGTACCGGTGTGGCAGAGCAAGAATAGGACTAACCAGCAACAACAAGAATTGCAACAAAGGTGACCCTGATAAGCTACGATGATGACAAGGACATACAACGACAAATCCCCAAAGACCTTCATTAACAAACCTATAAGCCCCATAGCCCTCCAAAAATCCCTAAACCCCAAACCCTGAAATTTTGTCGGGACCCTAAGGCCCCAAAAATCCCTAAACCCTAAACCCTAAAATTTTGTCGGGCTTTAAAGGCCCTGGTTGGCCGCGTCCGTGGCCCAGTCGCGGCTCGCGGCAGCGCGCGCCGGCGACGCTGGGGCCCAGTTCCTTCAGCCTGCAGCCGGCTGGTTCGTGTTGTTTAGGGGTTTAGGGTTTAGGGCGTGTTGTTGAGACCTGAGTTGCAAATCATAACCGTAATCGTAATTATAGGGGTAGTTATCGTAACGGGTGGCTTCGTGTAGAGTAGGGTCTGAGTGCAGTATATGTATGTATGTATGTATATGTATATGTATGTATGTATGTATGTATGTATATATATATATATATAACCGTAAAAATAGCTTGTTCTGTTATGATCATAACAACATCGCCTTGGGCTTTTAAGTCATTAAAAAAGCATTGCACCTACTAGGGCCCCTAGAGTTGAGAGGACGCATGGTTTAATGATGCGAGTCTGAGTGTGTGAGCCCTAAACCCCAAACCCTGATCACTAACTGAACCCGAAACATAACCCCTTAAAGGAGCCCTTGAAGGAGTAGAGATCTGGCAAATCTGCAGATCCAGGTTTCAGCATGCAGAGACCCTCCGGCTTAGCGGCGCCTTGCCATGATTTGTGTAAGTGGTATCAGGCGTTTTGGGTTTTGGGGGGACTCTGAGAATAGGGATCCCGCATTTAAGGGCGGATGTTAGGGGTTCGTTTCAGAAGGATCCCTCTATGTAGGCAATGTAGGGTTTTAGGCGTAAAGGGACCCTCATTTTATGGAACTTCCATCTTCTGGCATCTCCTCTGGATGTTTTGGTATGTCAACTTAACCCTGGGGGGGCCCTCCGTTTTTCAACAAAAGCGGTTGTTGCTGGTGGGCGTTGAGGCTTAGGGTGTCAGACTCAGGCGAGAAGCCCCAAATTAGCTACACTTCAAACCACTTGAACTAGTAATCCTTAACACGAAAAGTGAAACCTTGAACACTTTAGTATTTGGCCCCCGGAAGTACCCACCGCCCCTCGACGCTCAAGGCAGCGAGCCCTCCGGAGAGGCTTTGCAGTGGTACAGCAACTCGGGCTCTCAGTATTTTGGGGGCCTTGATGACTAGGGTTTAGGGTTTGGGGCTTGCTGCACTACTCGCACATTCGTACATACACTAATGAGCGCCAGGAGCAGGGAACCTACAACCCAAACCTGAAGCCCTTGAACCTACACCCTAAGCCTGTAAAGTAAGAACCAAAAGCTTCAAGCCTCCCGGGAAACCGAGGGAAAGCCGCCGACCAGGGCCACGTGGAAGCGCTCCTCCGTGCTGGGACTTTGCTGCACCGAAGACTGCGGGAGCTGTCCGACAGGAGACACGGGGGCGAAGAGCGGCTTTCAGGGTTTAGGGCAAGAAGAGGAGTGGGGCTTCGGAGTTCTTTCGGCTTTAGGGTTTAGGTAAGGGTTTTAAGAGTTCAGGGATTTGGGTGATATGTTACGACAGGAGCAGCAGGAAGTGCAAGCATGCTTCAAGACTTTGACAGCCCTGGAGTATGGCCCTTTTTACAGGGCTGTTTTATATTGGGGGGTATTTAGTTTTTGGAGGGTTTCAGGAGCCTTATGACAAGAGAAGCAGGAACAACTACAGGGTCAAAGAGTGTTGCAGGGAATACTGTAGGATTTAGGGCAAGAAAGTTGTGGGTCACAGGGTTCGGGGTAAAGGAGGTTTAAGGGTCCAGGGTGTTCATTCAGGGTTTCGAGGGTTTTGGCGTTGAGACTTATATGAGGGTTTTAGGGCAAGGGTTTGACGTCTTCGGAGTGAGGATATATGGTTTCCAATCACAGCGGCAATAGAGAAACTGCAGAAAGAACACTGAAATAAGCCAATAAAGGATTTCTTTCCCTAAGCCCTAAACCCTTAAACCAACCACCCAAAAGCACCTTCAACCCCCACGTTTGTTGACAGAGCATTGGCAGGAACGACGGAGCATTGGATCAAGCAGCGTCGGACGCGTGGCAGTAGATTCGTTACATGTTTTGGGGGGGAGGCATTTTGCCTGCACTGTCCAGCCCAAGACTTCAGCCGCCATCCCTACAAACCACAACTCCCCCTAGGAAGCTGGAGAAGTAAGGAGGTGTACCGCTACTACATGCAAGCGTCAGCTGGCGGCTGCGTGAAAGCCCAGCTTCTCCTGGCCGAGTTCTGCATGGATGGCAAATTCATGGAGGCACAGGGTCCACGGTTTAGGGGTTTACGGTGTGGGATTCGGGGGTCAGGTTTTGGGGTTTAGAGGTTTGGGCTAAGGGTTTGGGGTTTAGGGTTCGGTCCCTCTGAGCGTCCCTTTTGGAAGAGGGATCTTAACCTTAATTTGGAGAACTACCCAGTTGCAGGGTTTCGGATTCAGGGTGTGCCAGTTTAGGATTTGGGGTTCAGTGTGGGGATGGATGCAGGGTTTAGGGTTCAGGGTTTAGCGTTGATTTCCCGTTTGGCTTCAGCATGAAGGTTTCTATAGCTTTCAGCACCTCTAGCAAAATCAATTGAGGGACCTCAGTTGTTTCAGTAAGGTTGTCAAGCATGCCACGATGCTTTCATTCCTCTCTCAAGTTTTGGAACCTTAAACAGATGGATGAATAGATCGGTCGGTACTTAGATACATATGTAGATAGACACAGACAGACAGAGAGATGGAGAGAGAACGAGATGATGACTAGATGGATATATAAGAAAGTAGATAGATAGTAGATGGATATCAAGCTAGGTTTTAGCAACTAAGTAGGTAGAAATGTGGATAGATTGATACACAGATAAACATAAACAGATAGAGATCGAGAGAGAGAGAGAGAGAGAGCGAGAGCGAGAGCGAGAGCGAGAAAGAGAGAGATTCATTATTGGAAGGCCTCGTATAACCTGTACGGAAATCCTGTCTACAACTCGCAGGATCCCTGTATAAGCCCAGGCTTCGTAAAGCCCTCATGTACCTTCAGAAACACAAAAAATCAAGCAGAAACCCAGGTGAACCGGAACTGCAGCGCAACTTGGGCTCGACGCGCGTTGGAAAGCGGTGCGGCGCGCACGGCGCTCTTTGCTGAGGCCTTTCGGAGCGGTTTGGATTCAAGGTATGGGGTTTTTGTAAGGTTTTGGTCGTTCACAAGTCTGATACTTGCAGCTTGGTTCCGACATGCCCCCATATCCTTCCTTCTGTGCAGGATATACTGTCAATACCCTATTCTCGCTATTCAGGCCTCCCCATTAGCAGCAGAAGTGTCAAGAGCAGACATCTCAGACCTTCTTTGAGCTCGCCGAGTGCTTTCTGCAGGGAAAACATGGTCCATTGGAGCCTCGTCCAGCTAGGGGACTGAAGAAAGGGTGGGTTGACGACTTGGGAGTTGAGCGAGTACGGGCTCAGGGGTTTGAGGGTCTTGGGTTGGAGTTCACGGTTTAAGCTTCAAGGTGGGGTTTGGTGGGGATCTTAAGTCAAGAGTAGGGTGGCAACGGATTCCAAACAGCAACCCAGCCTATACATGCCATCCAAGCATCCAATGAAGAAAGACAGCGGTGCCAGTAGTAATACTGATGGGGGGGCCGACACACCATAAAGCCAAGCGAAGCCAAACCTGGAAACCCCTTAACTCTAAGCCACAAAACCGTAAACTAATTCTAAACCAAAAACAGAAGCAAGCAAAGCCAAGGATCAGGCTTCGGCCTTTTTCTGGCTGCAAGTGGCCGCCGACGCGGGATCTGCCAAGGCCCAGTACACGCTGGGAAGAGAGCTTTTGGAGGACTTTGGGCTCTTGGGTGCCGGGTTCAGGTTGGGGTTTCGGATCTCACATTGCGGACAGTTTGGCGTATGGAAGCATGGACCACACCACCCTTTCATTGCCGCGCAGCCTCTGTATGTACGTAGATTCAGGTTCCCAGTTGCACACTGTTTGATCCACGTTTCAGCGCAGGGACGGGGTGCAGTGTACACAGGACTTTGTTTGATCCCCCAAGCCCGTTTGGGAACTTGAAAAATTAGAAGGGGCCTAATCTGGACGTGTTTAGTACTTCAATGCGTAAGTCGTTGATTTGTGAGATTGCCAGCGTGCTACTTGCTCATCATCTAAGATGCAAACAACTGCGTCGAAGACTTGGGCCCTGTATGGGTCTGTTGTGGCCTTTTGTTCATGATCATGGACCTGATATCCGTGGAAACCATGAGTTCTTCGACATGGCTGAGAGATGACGTGGTCCCCGTTCGAGAGGTAGAGGCACATCGTTGTTGACAGTTGTGATAAGCATTAGACTAGCCAGAAGCCTCACAAGGACCTCACGGTGGCTACTGGCAACGAGTTTGCCGCCGAGTGGTTGCAGAGGGCCGCAGATCAGGATCATGAGGATCGCAAGCGGGAGCTACCGCTGAGGGTTTAGGGCTCAGGACTGACCGGGTCGGACTTTCCACTTTAGTGCCTGACCGAAGATTGCATTTGGCCTTGAGAGAAAGGGTTGTCAGCGGCAGCGGGCCGTTTGCCAGAGACAGCTAGTAGAGCCCCTGACAACTCTACATTAGGGTTTAGAATTCATACTGCTAGCCGAAAGTCGAAATTGTGATATTTGGAGGTTGTTTATGGAACTGGGAGTTGAGTTGAGGCTTCTTCCGCTGAGTCTGTGGCACAGGAGGCGCAGTTCATCCTCGGCGTCGCATTGGTGACCAAGCTTGAGTAGGGCTTTAGAGTGCGAGGGATAGGGTTTAAGGCCTCGAGGGTGCAACAGGTTACCTTTGTCGAAGCACCTGAAGTACTGTCTTGCGTCCTGACCTCCTAAACTTTGCAGTTCAATCTAACGTGCGGCCCATCTAGATTAGAGTCTACAGTGGCAGCCGCAACGTGTTGCAGCCTTTCCGGTGCAAGTTGGATTTTATTCCAATAGCGAGACTGACCTGAAACCGAAACCCCAGAACCCGAAACCTTTCACCTCATCCGACTACGCACCAACAACCTCGCCTGTTTTTCCGAGTGTGAGCCGCCCCTAAACCCGAAACCCCGAACCCGAAGAGCTAAAAGCCCAAAGCATCCGAGAGCTCCCGTTGAAATGCAGCTGCTCCCAGGCCATGGGCCAAGGCCTGCCAAAGAACGACTCTGCAGCTGCGGGGTGGTTCCAGAAGGCTGCAGAGCGAGGCACTCCATCCGATTGTGCTTGGAGCAAGGATTTGGGGTTTGGGGAAACTTACACTAAACCCTAACTGACTATATGCAAGTCCTCAAACCTCTTTGTTCGTGACCCCGGAGCGGTTCAGACGTCACGGCTTTTCGGCTTGAAGGTTACTGTTAGTTTTTATGGTTGGGGGGGGGGGGGTTCTATATGTTCCGGGGCGGCCTACTGTATGTGTGTTCTTCCGGCGGAAGCTCGGCGTCAGCTGTATCAAAAGGTTCGCATAGGCCATTTGGGTCTTTGGGTTTCGGGTTGAGGCTTCAGAGCTTGAGTGCTTTACCTCACATCCTTGGGTTCTTAGGTGTCGTTGTTGCTCGGAATTTCAGAGATGGGACGCTTCTGAAGTTCATCCAATATGGTTAAGGAGTGCAGGGGTTCCGGGAGAGATCACAGTCACGATGAATCCTGCCATTCAAGATTCTCTAGGGGTCCGCAACAAGCAAAAGAGTCTGACGCAGGATGAAACCTTCAGCCGCTGATGACATTGTTCCTTCAGCTTGCCTAGCTGCAAGCCCTCAACACTCATGAAGCCCCAGGAGCTCGCAACCTAAACCCCTTAAACCGCTTAAACCCTCAGAACTCCTAAGGAGCCCTAGGGACCCTTAAGAACCCTTTAAACCCGAGGCCACGCCATGGCCCAGTACAACCTGGCGATTGCCTTAGAGGCATCCGAGGGTTTCTTGAAAAGAGGAGAAGAGCGACAAAAGAGGCTCCGAAGGTGGGGCTTTTTGCATCTAGGGTTCAATGTAGGGGCCTAAACCAACTCATTATGGTTACGGTATAATGGGCACCAAAACCCTACTCGGCGCCTCTATTAGGTTGCTGAGGGATTTTAGGTTTGAGTCTGGCAGCGCTGCTTCCCAGCTGATTGGCAGGGTCTGGGTTCCAAAAAGGGGTTCAGGATGCGTGGCTTAGAGCTTTGAGCTTATAGGGTTTACGAAGGTAGGTAGGGTTAACCCCAAGTAGGTACAGGATCCTCAGTCCTACCTACCTACCTACCTACATTTCCAGTTTCTGGTGCCTTCAACGACTCCGACCTTTCCTAGCATGGGCTGACAGAAGCCGTGGACATGATAATGTAGGGGCCTTACTGATTAGAATAGGGTTTGGGGGCATATTCTAGTGTTATTGTAACAAGGAACCCCCAAAGTAGTCTTGGCAATTATTTCGGCCCCCATATTAGATGCATTAGTGGTGCAATGCTCCGGCACATCGTAGAACTAAACATGATTGAACCCCAAGAGGAAAACACAAACCTTATAGCAACGCCCAACAAAATCCTAAACCCTCAACCCTAATTGAACCTAAACCCTGAACCTAGCCTTACAGCAACCCGCAAAAAGCATTCTAAAGCACCCTGAGGCTTGCTCAGTCGTCCTGAAGGGTAGCGAAGCCTGTGGCAGTTTTGGGTAATAGAGAGGCCTTCATAATTAGAATAGGGTTTGGGGCTCATAATACTATACTTATAATAAGGAACTCCCAAAATAGTACAGGTAAGTATTAAGGCCCCTACATCAGCCTTTGGGCCTGGGAGCTATCCTCACGACCAGGCAGTTAAGTACACCTTGATCCTAACGACAGCTCTACGATCACATTCCCAAGTATGAAGTCCCCTGAATACTAATCAGCCAGTACATACAAATAGAACTGATCATAAGAATACAGCATACTAGTCACAAAAATAATAGTAACAACAATCATCCAATATATATATATATAGATATAGATATAAACGTGATAGCCCCTGTGCTACTTGCTCATTCCTCTCACCGAAGGAGGGCCGCGGCCTTGTGGCAAACGCCTCGGCAGCCAAGGCTGGGCTTGCGCGGCGGCCGAAGCTTCAGTCTGAGGTTTGGGGTTTTAGGGTTTAATCCACCTTTCCCGGCCGACTCTCCAAGCCCGGATGCAAAAGGGTTTACGGAGTTTGCGCTTTAAGGTCCTAGGGTTCAAGGTTTTTAGGGTATGGGGTATAGGGCATCGGACTTCGGACAAGTCTGTTTGACTTCGGGCCGCTGTTAGGGATTAGGGTTTTCGGGAGTGCTCAGCCATAAGCGCTGGCGTCTGGATCTTGGCTGAAGGGATTCAGGGCTCAGTGCATCGCAGTCCCTGCTCACACGAAGGAGTTTCGGGTTTAAGGCTCAGGGTCCTTCAAAGGTTGTATTCATTGGTGTACATGGATCCTACTACATAGGGGTTTCGGGTTTCGTGATTCCGGATTCAGGAATTGATGCGTTTGGCGGTGCAGAGAGCGGGAAGGGCTTGGGGTAATCTTCTGCACCCTAAACTTCCTCAGCCCTATGATGCTAAAGCCCTGAAGCCGGCTTTAGGCTTTGCAAGGTTGTGTGTTTACTCTAGTTTTCCTAGGAGTGCTTGCACCTGACATTTTCGATAATGGCTACCGCGAGCTGTGTTGTGAGGCTTCTGCTGGAACGGCCTGCCAACATCTTGTTCTCCGAACACCGATCCCTGACAAGTTGCATCCGGTGCACTGCAGATTCCTGCTGCCCGTGATGTGGAAGCAGAAGATCCCAACACCCCCAATCCCAATTCCCACGGCGCGAAGGTGTGGTTTCAAGCTGCAGCCACGCAGGGAGTGGCTGAGCCCCGCTGGAACTGGATACGAAGGTAGGGCATGTCCGACAAGCTTTCGTAGGCATGCGAATAGTAGGCATGAGGGCACGTGCACTGCTCTGCCGGGTGTTTCGAGGCTGATCCGAGCTCTTCTCCAGCCACGAGGCCTCGCAGCCAGGAGTGTGGCTGCAGGTAGGTTTTGCCTTGTCGGGGCTTCGAAATTCACTTTGGAAAAAGCATTTGAGTATTTAGGTTTTCGGTTTGGTTTGGAGTTTAGGCATGCTGAGGGTTTAGGTTGAGGGAGAGCCATGAGCGGGCAGAAAGATGTCCCTAGTCAGGTCCTACCCAGACCCTTAGCCAAACATGCAAAACATGGGCTTTAACAATTAGAATAAGGTTCGGGAGTATATTATACTATAATCATAATAGGGAACCGCAAAATAGTATTGGCAATTCTGTAGGCCCTTTGGTATGCTGGCCAGCACAAGTTTCGATTTCAAGACCTTGCGCGCTCAGGTTAATGTGCAGGGTATGAATAGAAAGCGTGCTACTCTTTTGCACAACCCCTACAATGCAAATACCAGCAAACACATTAAAATAATTCAGCCCCTGCATTAGAGGTCTACGATGTTGCAACTCCTGAAGAACGTTTCAAGAGTTCGGAGCAGCAGGGTCGTTGCTAAGGGATTTTTGGCTAGAATCTGAGTTGTTTCGCATCGGTTTCCGGCTTCGCCTTAACCCCTAGGCCCTAAGCCCCTAAACCCTAAGCCCTAAATACCGCTGAACCCTAAACCCTTAACAGCGAATTCAAGCCCGGGGTCTGGAGGCCACAAACAGCGCAAAGCGAGAGACCGTCAACCCCCAATGCGAAATCTAACAGTCCTCGATCCGGCTTTGCAGGTAGGCGCGTAGAAGGAAACCGCTTCTTCTGGGTTTTTGTATATGCGAATGTGCCATTCAAAGACGACTATTTATGCCAACTTCCGCAAGCTCGGTCTGTCGTATTTCGTTGGAATCTTCAAGCCATGAACCCGGTTATTTAGTTATCAAGACATCCCGTATCTGTTATGGCCACTACCGATGGATAGCTAGCTTCATAGCGTGCAGTGATTCCATGTCTCACCTGTCACTAAACCTTGAAGTATCATGTCTTCATAGCAGGCGAAATCCCAAAGGTGCAAGCCGAGTGTCTGGAAGCTTGAACTGTCTACCACCATCTGGAAGAGCTCAACTGTCGAGGCTTCATGAAATCGATCCTTGGGCATCAGTGAGCAGAAGATCAAAGACGTGGCGCTTCATTCAACAGCCACTGGCCATGTTAATGCTCAGTAGACCAGTGAGCATAGGTCGCACTTTGGCTAATTCCGGCCGTATGCTTGACGCTTGAGGTCGAAAATTCAGACATCTTGCGGTAACTCTGAACCGATAAACCCGAAACCCTAACCCTGAACTAACCCCTCAACGCTCAACCCTGCACTCGAACAGCCCATTGATCTTCAGGCTGAGCTCTTCTCGGGCTCCAAGAGCCTTGGGCGGCAGGGCCCAAATGGCATCATCCCCTGAGCGAAGATGGGAGAAGCGAAGACCTGCTGACAACTCCTTCCACAGATGATGAGAAGTTGAGAGCGGAGCTCTTCTTGCCGACAGCTCACCACCAAAGATGACCGCAAAGTGAGAGAGGAGCCACACTCAGCGTTTTTGGGGAAAAGGCTACTCACGAAAGCTTAGTGGCCAATCGAAGATGGACCTTGCATTGCAGCAGAAGGCGCCAGGCGACAAAAAAGAGCGGGCGTTTTGCACCAGAGGCACGATTCAGAGAATTTCAGTTTAGGGGTTGCGGCTTGAGCGGTTGCGCCACGACTGCTGAACCCCAAACCCTACATGGGCCCTTCTTTGTCGAGATCTTTGCTGAAAAGTCACCAGGACCCCTAGCTCCAGACTCCCTACCACCACCAAGTAACTCAGGATTAACAGCCCCAACTCCTGAACCGACCGCTAAACCCGAAAACCCCTACCCGAACAACCCCCAGGCATGAACCCCGAATGTAGCGGCCTTAAGAATTAGAATAGGGTGTCATAGGGGTTCCTTTATAGGGCTCCTTAAAGGGGTTCTATAAGGGCTACTATAAGGGTTTCGGGTTTAGGGGCCTTAATAATTAGAATATGGTTTTGGGGTATACGATACTATAATTATAATAAGGACCCCCCCAGAATAGTACGTACAGGTAATTGTTAAGGCCCCTATATCAGACCCCCCTAAGTTCCCGAAACCCTGAATGCCAAACTGTAAACCCTGAGCTCGAAAACCCAGGGCCCTGCTAGAGAACCTTTTTAGATTACAGTACCCATTAATAATTAGAGTAGGGCTGGGCTCCTTTATAGTGTACTTATGATAAGGAGCCCCAGTTAATGACTAGAATAGGGTTTTGGGCTCCTGCATGGTGTAACCATGATAACGAGCCCAAAATGTATTGGCAATTATTCAGGCTCCTACATTCGACGGTACCCGGCCTATTGAGCATTAAAAGACTGTAGGACATTGCTTCCGTAGTACATGTAGAAAGAAAACTTTTCATAAAGAAACTAAGATAATAACGAATAGACAAGCCTCAAACCGATGCTGCCAGGATTGATAAAGATGGAAGTATCTTAAAATCTTAAAGAACCAAGTCAACACGATTGGTTAGTATGTAGACGCAAGGTTCTATTGTAGTTTGACAGCTGTATAGTGACCCTGCCCAGGCACGTAAGAGTGAGAGCACCTTGTCCAGAAAAACACGTCCTCACATCATGAAAAGAGCTTACATTAGATCATAATGCCGGTTAAAACTAAAAAAGAGATTGGTTGATCTTGATGCTGATCTCGATGCATATAGTGAACCAGATGTAAGTAAGGTGAGAGAGTGTTACAGGTGCAAGCGATCACTGCGTCAGCAAGCATCTTTACACACATGTGCTAAAAACACTTTGACTTGTTCTGAATGCTTAGGTACATCTGTCAAGAACCAATGAACATATCTTGTCCTTCGGAGCAGTGCTTTGCAAGACGTTAACAGAAACAGCTACATTGTTTGTTTGGCATAATTGGTAACGAGCTCCAGGAATGTAGTGGCTGTGAGCTCGTGAAACACGTAGGCAACTTCAACGTGTTTGTTTAACATGCATCTGGCGTCATAAGAACGATGAAGAACCATATAAACCAAGTCACGCTTAAAGCCGTGAAGGAAGATACGTGAAGCATTCGTCTTAACTTTCCTCCGCAGCATAAGCATACTGTAAGTATAATATATAGGTACACAAGCAGTTGTATTTTACAATTGCTTCGCGTTGCAACCCTAAACCCCAAACCCTAAACCAAAGTTTAAAGGAACGATTGTAAGCCTCATTCTAGGACGGTAAGTTAGGTTGCGATCTGTGAGTTGATATCCCAGTATTGGGGTGGAAATGTTAAGATGGAAACTGCTTATTGGGTTCTTTTCAAGGGAGCATAGGCTTTAACACAAAGTTGAAATCTTAAGATGGATTATCCTAGGGTGGGGAGGGGTATCCTAATCCCCAACCCCTGAACCCCAAACCCCTAGATCCCTTATTGAACCGCTTTATAGATCCATTTAGAAGAGCCCTAAAACCCCGAACCCTAAAACCCTAAACCCTAAGCCTTAAACCCCCTATTGCCCCTAAGCCCTTAACCCCCATAATCACAAAGCCCTACACCGCGAACTTCAGAGCTGCAGCGGTTCTCTTCAAGCCGGGGCCGGCGCGGATAGGGGGAGCACAGAGGCGAGCCGTCGCTCCATGCCCAAATGCAGGCCAAAGACGACATAGGAGTTTCCGAGAACAAGGGGTACCTTATTTTGGGGTCCTTATAATAAGGATCCTACTATTTAGGGTACTATATTAGAGTCCCCTATTTTCGGAAACCCTCAGACATAGGGTTTCGGTGGATGTTGGGGATGTGGGTTTGGGGTATTGGGGGTTTGGGAGGTGGATTTGGAGTTTCGGGTTTTCTGGATCTAAAGTTGGGGTTGGAGTTTTGTTGGTTTGCATAGAGATTTGGGTTGGCGTTTAGGGGGGTTGGGGTTTCCGGGGGCTGTAGGGTCCATGACGCAGGGCCAAGAAATCATGCCTCGACCACTGCTCCTCTTTGGATCCTCTGAAACATGGCTCCTCAGCAAGCAGCAAGCAATCATCTTTGAGAAGCCTTGACCCGTTCCAAATCCTGCAAACCCCAAACTTTCAAATCTCAAGCCTTCAACCCTGAGCCCTTAACCCTACCCTTTCAATTCAAGGGAGGAACGGGGCCCGAAGCTTCCGACCCCTCGAGGATCGTGGAACTTAAACTTGGTGACTAGGATTATAAAGGAAAGTACGTAATGATACTTATAACTCGTTCTAAATACTTGGGACAGGTAAAGATAGTTATAATTTGCTGATGATTACATCTAGCCCCAATTAAGTTGTTCATCCTGCAAACAGGAGGTCATTGAGCAGTTCTGCCAGCACTGCATTTGAAGAAGGCATCCCAGTCGTCACAGGGCCTTAGGGTTTCGGGCCTTCGGGTTTAGGGCTTGTAGGGTTTAGGGCTTGATGGTTTTTTGGTTTGTGGATCCTTTCCGTTTGCCAGATTACTTTGTGCTGCGAAATTTGGTTTGAGGCGGTTGTGAGGGTTCAATAGTTGTGATGATTGGAATTTGGGGGTTTCCGGTTGAGGGTCCTTGTTTTGGCTTTGGGATTGAGCATTCGAGTTGTTGGTTGCGGCCAGACGGCTGTCGGGGGGTGCAGTGCTTGAGTTGCATGCGTGTGCTGGAGCGGGCAGTTTTCCAGAATGTGGCATGGCCGGCTGCAGCCATTTGGCCCTCCGCTCTGTCACAGGCGGTCATCTCGGCCTTCGTACAGCTGCAGATCCCACCCGAGCGAAAGAAAGCAGGGCACTGTTTGCATATAGGCTTCAATGAATCTGTCTTCATGTCGGGCGCTGCCTAGAAGAGCATAAAATAGCCCAATTTCTGACGCCATGCTGGCCTCCATCATGGGTGAGGACTGGTATTTCTTGGGTTTGACAGTATTCACAGCCTGCAAGCCTTCAAGTCTCAATCAGCTGCCTAAGCCCTCCGGCAAGAAAATGGCAATCCAACAGTCGG